TCACCATCTTGCTGTTCCCATATTTTATATTTCTTTATACCTCTCCCAGTGCCTAGTGCAGTGCCCTACAAGGTACATAATGCATTTTACATGATTATACATCTTAGATTAACTCTGTGCCTCTGGGAAGACCACCAAGGACTAATTGTGGCATACGAGAATTGTTTGAGGACATAGAAAATTGTATCATCTGTCTAAATCAGTGTGTACAAATCAGGGTATGAGAATAACTGGCATGTCATGATGTGGGCGCTGAGCCCAGCCTTCTCTTGAGTTCTGGCTCTTGCCCAGCATAGAAAGCCAGCCCAGGACTATAGCAGCAGCCTCCAAAGTGGTCTCCTTGTCTCTAGTCTTGGCCTCATTCAATCAGTTCTTCGTGTGCTGACTCAAGTGAGCTGTGTCAACAGAGATCTCCCGGTCAGGCCTCTGCCTGGTAACCATTCATGCAGTGGTTCTCCAGCTGCAATGCACCTCAGAACCACCTGGAAAGCTTGTTGCAACCCCCTACTTATTCCATACAAAGATTCTGATTCAACAAGTCTGAGGTGGAGTCTAGGCTTCTGCATCTGTAAGAAGCACTCCGGGTAAGTCTGATGTAGCTGGTTCAGGTACCATTCATTAAGAAACATTGCTTCAGAGGCTCTTTATTCCCTACAGGGTGGAGCCTCAGCATCCTTAGCATGGCACACAGGCCCTTAATGGGTGGCCGCTTTTAAAGCTGACTCTGTCCCCTCCATGCCATTCTAATGCCACGTCACTGTCACCATCATTTCTCACCTGAACTGCTACAACACTGTTCTGACTCCTGAGTCCTAACTGCTTTAATTGCTCTCTGTTCCAATTTTCTCCCCAGGCTGGAGCCAGAGTGACCTTTCAAAACTGCAAATACGTTCATATTGTTCCTTTGCTGGAAATCCTTTCATGGCTCCTCACCATCTAAGTGATGGTTTCTCCAACTGAGTCAGGTGGCACAGCAGCTGGAAGTCAAGGTGTTCTTTCCAGAAGGCCAGGAAATAATGGATGTATCAAATTGCACCATGCGAAATAAAACACTTTTCAAAAGAACACTTCTTCTAGTAGAAAACATGTCTATGTTATGTGTGTGCAATATAAAATAAGAGCCACAAGCACAGATGTCTATGAAAAAAAATCAACTGTTGAATTAAGCATGATCGGCCCTGGGATTGTCTGTTTAATATTCCTTTGCTACATGTTCATTCGTTTTGTTGTTTGCTAGCAGATAAGTAGGAGCATCTGTCAAAGATTTAGGGAAAATTTACAGTTAAAAAAAGTTAAAATAGAGAAATTTCTACTCCTTAACTGATTTTTTTCTCACTCTGAGCTTCCATCCCATTTGCAATGGGCATGGTTCCAGAATGAGCAGGCATTGTCCTTGGTGAGCACAGTTCGAGAATCCCTACTCTGGAGCAAAAAGGCTAAGCTCTTTGGCATGGCCAATGTGATCCTTCTAGATCTGACCCCATCTTATCTTTCAGCCCCATTTACAATCACTGTCTTCTCCTCCACCATTCCCTCTGGCCTAGACTCAGAATTCCCTAATGTTCTCTGTCCTTTTTTCTGTGTTTTTACACATACTGTTCTTCTATCACCACCCCGCCTCCTTGATGGCCAGATAATCTACAACTCTTTCTTCAAGACTCAATCCAATGGCTTTTCTTTGAGGTGTCTTGCCTCACCTCACTGTGTCTGCCTCCCAAGGTCTTGCTCCTGACTGATTATATCACATATCACGCTACTGGTTGTTTGTGGCACTATCTGGCAACTGGCCTGGGCCCTCCCTCAGATCACAGTAGGGGTTCTCATCACGTATTTTTTCTTGAGTCCTCTGGCACTGAGCAGGGTGGCTGATGTGCATTGGGGGCTCAATGCATATTTGTGGAATGAAGATTAAAATTTCAAAGGAAGCAAAGTTTATCTTTAGAAGCTTCCAGCTCCCTACAGGGGTCCCCTCTCCACTTTTTTGACACCCCTTTCCCAACCCTAGGCAGTCTACACTCTCATGCTGCCCAGCGTAGAATCCAGGATCTGCCATTATTGCCACAACCCAGGCTTCAGAACTTTCTCTCAATAGCCTGCCAAACGTTACCCAGTCATGTCTTTCCCTGGCTGGATTTCAGATAAGTCAGTGGTTCTCAAACTTCAGAATAAATTAGAATCCCCTGGAGGACTTGTTCAAACACAGATTGCTGGGTCTCAGTCCTTGAGTTTCTGATTCAGTAGGTCTGTCTGGGGTGGGGCCTGAGAATTTGCATTTCTGTCTTTCCAGGTGATGCTGAGACTGCTAGGCAAAGACCACATTTTGAGAATCACTGGAATAAACTAACATAAAACCAGGGGCTGCAGGAAATAATGCACAAAGGAATCCTTACTTCATCTTGACTCAGCCCCTTCCCTGAGTTTCTGATTCTATCAGCACTGTCTGGATTTGGTTCATCTCAGATCAGTTTCCCTCTGCTTCACCTTGTCCTCTTCCTCCAACTTTCAATCTTACTTTTCAGATTGTTCTCTGAGCGTCTCTCCTTAGACCAACTCGATTATCCTCTTTCTCTTTTTCATAAAGCCAGTTTCAGGACAAAACCCTTCCTGAGCTCTTAGCTCCATTTCATTGCCTTCTTCCCCCTCCCTGTCCCCCTCCCTGTCCCCCTTCTCCCATCCAGTCTGAGCACCTCCTACCCAGCCATCAGAGTGACTTTTCTGAAGCTTGGCTTTAATTAGGGCCCCCTCCTATCTAGCAGGGAGAGCCATTTCCCCTCCCTGAGGAGTCTGGTTCCACAAACAACATTAGCAAGTTAATGACAGTCACCTGCTGGCCCTGGGAAGTCTCTGCTTGCTCCAGCTTCCTTAAGGACAGTGGAAACACTAAAAATACCACATTTACATGCTTCTGTTTATTCATTCACTCAACAAACATTGATTGAGCCCCTGCCAGACACTGTGCTTGGCCCAGGGGATCCAACCAGGGCACCACAAACATGAAGACATGTTCACGGCAGTGTCTGAAGGTCCACAACACCTCTTCAGGAAGGGGATCTCATCAATGGGGACAGACATTCAAGGAAGAAACTGACAGCTCTTCCCTCGGTCTTCCCGTATCTGCTCCGTGCCTGGGAAGGTGACTCAGGATCAAAGACTAGGAAATACGAACCCAGTGAGTTTCCAGATCTCTTTGTTGAAATAAGTATAATCATCCACATCTCTCAGTTATTGGCCCCCTGCATCGAGTGAGGTAAGGTATATAGAGCCCAGAACAAGTGAGCTAAAACCTCTCTACACCTACACACACCCACACTGAAACACACACACAGGTAGATAAACAAAAACAAATACAAACATAGGAGTAAACACATGCCAGCACACATACACACTGACAACACACACTGAAACACACAGACACAGCTGATGCACACGCTGACACATACAAATGCACACCAACTCACACATCAACACCAACCCACACCCCATGGAAACTGGGAAGCCCAAGCCCCAGGAAGGACTTGCAGCCGCAGGTGAGAGATCCTAGAGGGACCACAGGGTTGAGGGAGACTTGAATTACACACTTGGTTCCAGTCTGCAAGGTCCAGCGTTTAGGAGGCGAAGGCCACCGCGAGGCTCTGAAGGCCCCTGGGGACAGGCGGGAGGAGTGGGGCAAACGGGCGGGGTACCAAGTTACACCAACGCTGAACCGAGATGCACGGAGTTTTGGTCAGCGCAGAGCACGAAGGCGGGAGGGCAGCGCTCCGGGAGGCAGGCAGGATTCCCGGGGAGCCCGCAGTCAGCCAGCGCAGCTCCGCCTGGCCCTCCGCTGGCTCGCCCTTCGCGTTATCAGCTGTCAGCTCTGGTTTATAAATGTGCGCCTCTCGTCCCGCTACACTCAAACCCAAGTCCAGGTCAGAGCTAGTGACCTCCCGCCCTTCCGCGTTCTCCGTGCTCCAGCCTTTGCAGCGAAGACCGGTCTCCTTCCCAGATTCTCAGCCTGGAAGCTGCCAGTCACCTCTGACTCCCCGCCCCCATCCGGTCCAGGCCCACTCTTACAGCGGTTCCTCTGTACAGCCTTGGTCCCTCACGTCGCTGCCACCCCAATTCAGGGCCTGGCGCCTCTCCCAGGCCCTGCCCCAGCGCCCTGGCGGGCCTCGGAGACAACGGCCACTCCCCTTCTCTGCCACCACCATCTGTCCTGCGGGTCTGTGCTGTCTGTTCCCAGAACTCCCCTATACTGCTCCCTGATTGTGCCAGGCTCTTCTCTTTCAGCCCCTCCTGGGTCTCCAGCATAGCGGGCACTTCCAATACTTGTCTCTTCTGTCGCTACAGCTACCCCCTAATTGGGTGTCTTCTTTCTTCTGTGCCCCTCCCCCAATCCAAATCCTCTGCCCTCTTGTTCAGAAAAGGCTTAATTGGGCGCTTCTTGGATGCCAGGCCCGAACTAGGCACTAGGGATGCATTTTGCCGAGTCCTTGTCCTCCAGATTCATACAGCACATATAGAGCTCCCTGAGACAGTGTGAGAAGCACTATCCTGGCAGGTGGAATCAAGTGCCAGGGAAGCGCTTCATATGGCCACCCCAATTTCCCTGCCTTCCCTCCTCCCCCGCGCAGACCTCTGGATCGGGTCCCTTCTCCCTCTCTCTCTTTGGTTCCCGTTTTTCGTCTTTCCTCCCTCCTGCCTCCCTCCGTCTCAGCTGCTCCCGCCTTGGGCCATCTCCCACGCCGCATCTGGGCCCCCTCGCGGGCGGGGCTTCCACCCATGTGTCTGTCTCCCCCCGCGGTCCCAGGTTCCTTCACTCGAGGGTCTGAGTCCCTCTCCGAGACCAGGGCTCCTGCCCTTTTAAGGAGTGGAGTGAAGTGTCCCGCCCGCTCGGGCCTCGGGCACGCCAAACCTGCCAGGGTACGCCGGTCACAGGGAGCTAGCAGGGAGCCACTCCTGGGAGAGGGGGCGGGAGGGCGTCAGGGCCCGAGAGGTGGAGAGGTGCCGAGGTCAAGGGAGGGGGCCCGCGGCGGCGGTTGGCGGGAAGGAAAAGGAAAGCAGACCCGCAGAGCCTCTGCCTGCGGAGGTTCTCTCTCCGCGCACCGCGGCCGCCGAGTCCGGCTGACCCAAGGTTAAGGGGAAACTAGGGGGCGGGACAGAGGCACCGGAGGTCACTCTGCGTTCCTCCCCAGCATTCCGCCCAGCAGAGCTGGGAGCCTCCAGCCCCAAGCCCCTCCTCTGAGACTCCCCGGAGGTCCAAGCACTAGAAGGGGTTGGGTTGTCCGAGCCTCCGCTCACACGGTTGAGGGTCTAGGGTTCGGTGGGGAGAGGAGGCGTGGGGTTCGTCTGTATTAAGTATCCAACGGTGGTGAGCTCGGAAATGACAGCCCACAGCACCTGAGGCTTGGAAACCCCAGGGCAGAAGGGACGCCTAGTCTCAGGACCTCGGGCTTCGGACTCCGTATGTCACAGCTCAGTTGCGGGGCCCGCAGTGCGGCTTCCTCCAACCGCCCCCTTTCTAAGCTTCACTGTGGAGCGGCAGGTGCTGCAGTTTCCCCCCGCCCCAACCTCCGGTCTCAGCAGCACTCCCGGGCCAGGGTGAGGGGAGGTGTGGTGGAGCAGCGAGACTCCAGTGGCAGACGCTCCCACCCAAGCACCCCGAGATATCGGAAGAGGGGCTACAGGGGGCGGGAAGGAGGGAGAGGAGGACCGCAGGGCTCAGCCGCCGAGCTGTGCGCGGCAGGAAGGGCGGGGGGCTCCCTTCCAGCCCCAGGGTCTGGGGACTCAGGGATGTAAGGCGAGAGCAGGGGGGTGTGACAATTCAGCAGAGGTCGGGACGTACCACGGAACCCAGTGACGGGGGGGCAGAGGACGTGGTCACCGAGGGGAGCCCCCGCCCCCCTTCGCAAAGGCCTACAACTGGGGTTGCAGAGAGAGCTGGAACTGGGCTGGTGGTAGGGGGAAGAGGCGCTTTAAATCCCCCCACCCCATTTCCGAGGGGGTGGGCGTTGGAGAGGAGGTTGGGGTTGGAGCAGCAGCTAGGGGGCCCCTCCCTTGCACCTCCCCCCACCGGACTTGGTCGCGCCCGAAGTGTAACACTTTCTCTTTGTCGGAGGAGCTCCGCTGTTTCCTGTGCTGTAGCTCGGGTTGCGGCGGCGCCCGTGGCAGCCCTGGCGGACGCAGGAGCGATGGCAGCGACCGATATAGCTCGCCAGGTGGTGAGTGCGGGGCTTGGGCGCCAGCACTGGGGCCGGGGGCCTGGGAAGGGCCGAAGGGACTTGGCCGCCGCCACCGCCACGGCGAAGAGGGCAGTGGGCAGTATCTAGGAGCCAAGGCTCGGCGGGACTTCTGCTCCCGGGGTCAGCGGCTCAGTCTTCCAGCCTCCCGTCCCCGAGAACGGTGGTGGCGGGCGAGTGGGGGGCCTGGTCCAGGTTGCGAGCCGGCAGCTGAACTTGCGTTGCCCAAGAGCTGCAGTCAGCACTGCCGCCTTCCTCGCTGCAGCTGCGGCCCCGCCGCTGGGGCGTTGCCGAATGAATGGCCGCACGGGCCGCCGAGCCCTCCGGGTCCCCAGCACCCTGGCCTCGCTTCCTGGCACCACCGGGCCTCACCTCTGCTCCCTGCCGGCCGCCAGGACCCGGGGCCCCTCAGGAAGAAGGGCGCGGGGCTGGGGTGAGCCTGGGGCAGGAGACGGCGAGTGGTGAGGGGGGCGGGGAGGTGACCGGCTGGGGTAGGGTTTCTCCATATGCATTACATATGTGACTGCGTCTGTGTGTGTGTGTGTGTATCACTGTGTGCGTGTGAGTGCACGCGCGCGCACTCGTGCCTCTCCGGGCGGACGGCGGTGCCCGGCTTGTCTGTGACCCAAGATGATTCCGCCTATTTCTCAGAATGTGCTCACCTCTCTGGTGTGTGTCCGTGTGTCCGGACGCCTCTCCCCTCGTCTGCTCGTGCCATGTGCCTCTGGGTCCCATTTGTGCATCTATGTGGGGTGCAGTCTGCTGGCCTGTAGGTGGCTGGCTGCTTATTTTGGCGTGTTTCTGAGCACCTGACCCGGGTTTTGCGGGCCTCTGGGAGTCTGTTTCTGGTGCGTGTTCAGTGTAACTGGGCTTGTGAGCCAAAACCTGTGGAGCTGGCTTCTTTATATGGGGGCTCAGGAAAATAAGTGTGAGGCTTGCAAAAGTGGTGCCGTCTCTCTTTTTGTTGGCAGCCGACTCTGGGGGAAAAAAAATCTTCATTTAAAAAACAAGTTTTCCAGCCTGGGATGTGCAGAGAAGTCATACTGAAATGACCCGAGGCTCCATGTTTGTTTTTTCAGGGAAAGGGAGGGGATGGTTCCATTTCGGGGAACAGCCTTTCTATTCATCCATGGGTATCTGGGATTTTAAAGAAGACCACAATTAACAGCACCCTGAGGTGAGGAAGGAGAGTAGAGGTAGGTCAGATCTCATGACACTAAATACTGCTTGATGAAAATCTCTGAAACGTATGTGCACGCACACACACACACACACACACACAATATTTTTAAACCTTGTGGCTTACTTATTTAGAGAAATAGTCCATGCAATGCAATTCCAGCGCAAATATATATACATATATGTATGTATATATATTATAGCCTCTAGGTATTTGGTGTAATTGAAATTGATTTGTTTTCAAGATCTGAATCCAGAATCTGGTAGTATTTTCTCTACAGGATATGGTTAAATTTATTCCACCCTCTGGTCCCAGTTTGGAAGGGTGAGGTGATTTCTTTGGAAATCTTCCCCCACCCCCTGCAAGACCCCAGCATGGGGCTCTTTATGCAGTCATGATGTGGAAGGACCAGGTGTAGATAGGAGACAATGCTCTGTGATAATGGAATTTGAGAGAATTCTTTTCTCCCTAAGATTGGCTGTGTAATATGTATTGCTTTAGTGTTTTGAGGGTTCCCAGAGTCCCTTTCTTCGCCTTGTATTACCTGCATTTTGGAGATGGCATGGCTTAAGTAGAGGAATTAGTTTCCTGGATTACACTTCCTCCATCCTTAGTGACCAAAAAGGCCGCTAATGATTTTTCCTGTCAGCTAATTAATTTTCATCGACCTGCACACTCCCATCAATTCCCCCTTCCCTGGATTAGGATTGTAGGGCAGATGATGCAAAATGGAACATTCCAGAAGGTTGTGTTGCACCTTGGATAACCCAGAGATCCTCTTTGTTCTGCAAATGGAGGTGGGGGTGGTTTAGGGCCACTTGGTTTGCTTTGCTGGGTTCCAGTTTGCTCTGGCTGGCCTTGCCGTACTGTGTGATGAAGAACATAACTGTCGGGCCGGATTCTGAAGCTGAGAGAGCAGCCTGAGCACTTGAGACCTTGTTACTGTGATAAATGGGTTTCTGGGAAAATTGACGTCACTCTCCAGGTCCCCCTCCCCCAGCCAGGGAAGCTCCTGTTTATGTGTCATTTGTCTCTCTGCTTGCCTTTATGTCTGCAAAGAAGTTGTAATTCACCAGGGGAAGATGGAATTAACTCAGGAGACCTTGGACGGCTGGTTGCTGTCGTTTCTTCCCCTGGAACGTGTATCCAGGGTTTGGGAAGAGAAGCCTGGAGACGAAACCTGAGTGTGCCTAGTTTAGGAGCTCTTTTTAATGAGCTCTGAGACATGGTGCCGTGCAAGTGGTGCTCTGGTATGTGTGTGAGGGATGGGGGGGTGTCATTTTCAGAGTCACTAGAGGGTCACTCAGGCTTGTAGGGTAACATTATTAGTGACCAAAACAGGCCTTACAGTTGCTGAGTAGGGCCCTTATTTGAGCATGCATCGAACCTGGAAGTTCAGCTTTTGTATACATGATACAATCCCATCCCGCTTAAATGAACACAAAGATTCTTTATGACAAAACTATTTTCTCATTGTGTCTACAAGTGTTTATTTGATTGACTGATAAGTGTCCAGCACCATGGCTAGCCCTGGTCAACTATACAAAAAAAGTAGTAGACACAGTTCCTGGCTTTTAAGCTTACCACAGTCTCCTTGGAGAGACAAATTGTGGACACTGAAATAATTAGAGAACTATAGAAGATTCTTGGGGTGTTCCCATCCCGAATCCCTGCCTGTGAGGTGGCGTGGGCTGCTATTAACATATACTCTGAGAGGTTCCATGGCTTGTCCAAGGTAACCTAGCAAAGCACAGTGCAGGCCCGAGAGGCTGCAGCTCCTGGCTTATGCATTGAGCTGTTTCTTTCAGTGTTGCATCTTGGGGTCCAGATTGGTAAGTGCTGACCCATAGAATGAAGGGCTCATTGATTCTGGTTTGAATCCATCCTACAATGTGGACAATGATGCTTTCCTCCGTTGGCAGCTGGATAATGGTCTTTCTTCCTAAATAAAGAGCTTGAAGGGCCTAACTCTGCCCTAGCTCGCGTGGGCCTGGGGCAACTGTCCCAGGGCCACTGCCAACAGGTGGCACTTAACCCTTGATTCTCCTTGGGTGCCCTGCCTCAGCATCTCCACCACCTCATACTAAAAGTCATATTATACCCGAAGCACAGAGCAGAACCCCAATATTCACCCATACCTCTAGTGGGGATACAACACTAAAGAAAATTTACATGGCCCCAAATATGAAAAATTCTTGACTCCAAGTCGAGGGTATATGGATGATCATTGTACTATTTTCCAACTTTTCTGTGTGTTTGAGACTTTTCAAAATAAAAAAATTGGGTGAGGAAATCACAATGCCTGACCCCGTCCCCTGCCAATGCACCTGGCCCGTGCCCTCAGGGAGTTTACAATCTAGTAGTGGAGGCAGACACAAATAAGTGTGTAATTATCCTTGTGCTAAGTGCTGTACAGGAGAGCTACTGACTGCTAGGAGAATTTATTACAAGGGGACCTAAGCCAGCAGTGGAGGGGGGCGGTGGGTGACAGGAAAGGCTTCGTGAGGGCTTCAAGTAAGAGAAAGGTAGGTGTGAAAATGGGTGAGATGTCCCTTCTGCTACTGGGCTGGAAACATTTCATTTGTTAATTCACGCGCTTTTATTTTCATTCACTCCCAACATGGGCTTATTGGGCACCACTCTGCCAGGCCCTGTGCCAGGCGCTGGGGATATAGTGGTGGCCAAGGCACACAAGACTCAGCCCTCTCAGAGCTTTCAGATGAGAGCCGCCCCATCCCGCCCCTACCCTGTTTCCTCTTCATATCCTAAATCCTGGAAATGTGAGTGTTAGCGACGTTCTTATTACAAAACTGCATTACAGCCAAGCAATTTGTCTGTATAGTATAATGAGATTTTGATCTGCAGTCATGTGCACAGCATTTACTTTGTAGAGTCTCTGCTGTAAATTTTGTATTAATTGCTGGCTTTGTTACCCAGAATGGCCCCTCCCTTTGTGTGCTGTAAGGGAGCGAACCCGTTGCATTAGCCTGAGCAAAACTAATTAGGAAGATAAGCCCTCTGGAAAAAGGTATTCCAGAATTGAGGACTGATTTCTGGACTTGCCTGGGTTTCTGGATTATCAGAGCCATGGCTTGCCATTAGCACGAACAATTGGGAGGCACTTTCAGTTGCGTGTACATTAAAACCACATTGGAGAAAGAGAGAAAGAGGGAAAGGAAAGAAAAGAAAAGAAAGGAAAAAGAATACCATGAATAAGTACAACATGTCTCTTTCAACGATCGCAAAACACTTCCATCTGTATGATTTCATTTTCCCCAACAGCTTCCTGGACAAGTATTATTATTCTTTTCATTTTATGGGTTCAAGGAGACCAAGTTGCTTCGTCCAAAGTGTTATTGCTGGTCAGTGGATGAAGCAATGAAACACCTAGCAGATGATACAGATACATTAAAAACAACAACAACAAAAACTCTGGCCTTTTCTTGATGTTTCTGAGAAATAAAAATCCTGCCATGTCCCCTCTCCCCTCTTTTGACTGCACCCCCGCCCCCAGTACACTCATGGGGTAGAGAAGAGTCTACCTGGGTGCTTTGCAGACTCTCTGATGTTAAAAAGATCCTTAACTTGAATCCCAGATAGCACAGTCATGGCTACGTGTAGGCTTCCTTGCTTTTTCTGTTTTTTTTCCCATATTGCTTTAAATAAAAATTTTGGAGCCACCAAGCATGTAATGATGGATTATTTTAAGTAACAACTGGAGAGGGGGAGCAGAATAAATTAGAAACACAGACCCTTCCTCCTCGGTTTGGCAGGAGGAGGCTTCTGCTGCCGGGATTTGAAA